TCTATATTGGGTTAGTATGAGGGTGTATAACCGTTCACCAAAATCATGTCTACATCTGCAAGGGCTAAAATGCCCCAAAATGTAGTATAAGAGGATATGACTAGTTGTCAACTTCTTCTTACCCGATAGTTATATGAAGTAAGTCGTTATTGTTGTCTTTTTGCTTACACCCGTATAACACCATTTCCCCCCTTTTCTAAAACTTTCTTCTTGAACCAGGGCTAGAGGCTCGAGCATACGTCGCTTAGCCATAGGCGACGCAAGAACGAATAGGCTTAAAATATAAATCTATTAGAATGTTGGATGAAAAGTTTTTCCTCTGCGGGGGCCTTGTGCAGTAAACCCCCTACGGGCGGTCGTCCGTCGTCGTAAAGTAGTCCCCGCGAAGCTTTCGGGAGGAGGGGTAGTCTTGTGTGTAAGCATAGCATTTCTGGTCGAACCTTCCCAACCCAACTAAGAAGAACCGAACCTGACAGACACAGATTTTGCCTTTTGGGAGGGTACTTCTGCATATTTCTGAATATATCGAGATATACGTGAACCGATGCCGTATATCAGACTCTAACCACTGAGTTAAATAGGTCAATGAGAGTTCCTAATGAAACAAAATTAGTTAAAGATGAACGAGTCTCCTTTGCCTCATGGTTCGGTCCTTCTGTATTGTCGTCGTGAATATAATGATGGAGAACATTGGTCAAATAAGTTAAAAACGAGTCGGAAAAGGATAGAATTAAAACCCTAATTAAAATTAAGACTCATATGGGATGGTTATATGTGAGATTATGAAATTGATTAGAGAGAGGGAGTGAGAGATTAGGTGGCTAATTAATTCAAGTTGCATGGAAATTAATAGAAAAATAATGTATATTGAGATTTGCATGCAAAACCCTAAAATTAAAAATTCTTAAAACTGATTGTGGAGGGAACAACACCGCGATTTTCGAATCTATGTTTCTATTATTTAGGGTTAATTAATGTCAATTAGTAATAACCATAATTTAAATGCTAATGTATTTGACAGCTATTTTTTTTTAATTTTTTTTTAAATGTATATTTTCACATTTATATTTGGTTATTTTGTAAATTTTGAATCGCTCGAGCAAAATCCGAGTTTGAAGTTAATTAAAAGAGATGCTACAAATTGAAGAAAGATACTTTGGTTGCGAGATGTAGGGTTGAGACGTGTTTACTCAACCCTTGACAGTATCAAAACGCTACAATAAATTTTTGGATTTAACACTTTAGATTTCGTGACTGTGAACATTTATGACACTCGAGTAAATGGAACATCACTAAAAATTACTTAAAAGAATTGAAAGTCGTTATTTATACTAACAATATTTACCTTTCTTTGCGATGTCTCAATCATAAAATTTTATAATTATACGTGTTTTGCTTGAAGTAATTCTATTAGGTGAATAAGAATAAATCATACTCAAATGGCTCGTGTTAATATACTAAGGTCGATTAGTGTTCTGAACCTTAGATATAAGTGGTTAACCATAGTTATACGTGTTTTGCTTGTAGTGATTCTAATTAGGTAAATAAAGATAAATTATATTCAAATGACTCATGTTAGTATGCTGCGATGGATCAGTATTTTGAACCCTAGACATGAGTGGCTAACCATTAAATTGATTAACCATAATTATACGTGTTTTACTTGAAGTAATTCTATTAGGTAAACAAAGATAAATTATACTCAAATGGCTCGTTTTAATATGAGGTCGATCAGACTGAGCGGTTAACCATTAAGTCAATGAGAAAAAGGATAAAAGAAAGGGCAGCATGAATTGAAAGGACTGCAATTTGAAAGTGGTTCAGTCCTTTATTGCCGCACCTGCACATGCAATTTGGCTCTATTCACCTTCTTTATTTTCTTTTAAAAAAATATTCTAATTATTATTAATAAAAAAAATTAAATTATATATTTGATCCATATATCTTGAAAAAAAAAATTAAAATTTATTTTTTATAATTTAATAAAATCTTTTTAGGATAATCTTAGAGATTATTGAATTATTTATGAGATTTGCTTAAATTATAAAATTATAAAATTTAAAATTATTTAAATTAAATAATTTCGTTTTGGTTTAAATTTTATTTTATTTTCATTTTTGTACCTCCTAGTATTGAAATTTAGTAATTAAAATTTTATAATTAATTTAGTTTGAAATAATTTTTTAATCAAAATTAGTCAAATAATGATAATAATATCATATATATAAAATGAAACAAAAATAGAAAGTACCAAAGAGTAAATAGTATTTTACTACTTCGACCTTGGGTTAAGGCATTTTATATGAGATATATTCGTATTCTCATGACTTTTGAGGGTATTTTCGTACTTTCAGCTATAATTTCTACGAAATATATTATATAATCATTCTACAAGTTTTTTTTATATATATAATTTAATTTTTTTATCAATATTTTTCATAAGTTTTTTATCTATCAATAATGTATTACACGTAAACAGATGCCACAAGTATATAACTTTTAGTAAAGTATTGTTAATATAAATGTAATACAACTATTTATGGTTGTGGTTGTCATACGTCAAAATCTAGCTAGAATGAGCTGTAGCAATCTTTGTTTAGCATTAAGTGGAAGACGCTTGCTTCGAAAATTTTCTTCCTTTTTGTATCAAGCATGCATTGTATCATGATTGTCGTTCCTATCAAATAGAACGATGCAGGACATGCACTTGTGCTAGATGCATAGGCTAGTGGGCATAGTACATGTGTGAGAATTGGCCTACGAGGTGCACCTTGCACACGATGCATATCATCTGGGTGATGTTTCACTTGTATCTCGACGCTTCTATACACTAGGTTGTTAAGCATCCGTTGAAGCGATATGGCTCGTGATTCGTTGATTGGTTTTTGAGATATAGTTGGTGCTTCCACGTTTGTATCAAGCATAACTCCACAATAACGACAAGGCTCTTGTTCGATAATGAAGATTTGATATATTGAAACATGTGGATGTGAAACATAGATGAGGAGGTAGGTGTATTATTGGGAGGAGAAGTTTGAGTTTGAAAAGGAACAGGGAAAGGGAAAGATCTGTAAGGATCTTTATTTGTGAGGAGGAGATTGATGGGTCAACCTTTCAAGATCTTAGTGGCTTAAGGGCTTCAGATTTGACATCACCTTTTTACCGTTCAATATGATATGATTAAACATGTAATGTTTAGATTCGTACAATATTGCACATGGGACACCACACTCCACTTTGTGTCATCCATCAATATTCAATAGGATCAGACTCAAACCTATTGCTAGCAGATATTGTTCGGTTTGACCCGTTACGTATCGTCGTTAGTCTCACGATTCTAAAATGTGTGTACTGAGAAGAGATTTCTACACTTTTATAAAGTATGTTTTGTTCTCATCTTCAACTGATGTGCGATCTCATAGTTAGAGAATTTATACGATCATCTTAGAATTTGTGTTCACTCGTCTTTTAATTAGGTTAAAAGACGATTGAGTTAAGTTGGATTAGGGTCAGAGTCTGTAACGCCCCTAATTTTCTTTAACCTAATTAGTGACGTTACCCATGCATACATAACTCATTAAGCGGAAGCTCATCATAAATAATCTTGGAAGAGTTTTTTATAAATCCAAAACAATCCTATCTCCCAAAATAAACCTTCAATAACTGAATTCAAAATAAATCCAAATAAAACAAGTTATAACTTAAAATAGTCTAATAAGAGTAAACTCCTAAAAACATCCCATCTCCAACTTCCATGGTGGCCTCCCGTCAACAACGACGTCACAACCCCGATTCCGACGATGCGAGGATACCTCTCGCCTATTCCGACAGAAACGCAACGGTATTCAACACCTATAGCTTTAGTCGATTCTCTCTCCGGCCACTCACCAAAGAAAACCTAGCGAACCACCCACACGTTTTCCCGACTAATACTTGATTTTCCCGTACTCTCAGACACCCTCGAAAACCCAGAAAAGTTTAGAGAGCAAAAGTCGTTTCCAAAGAAGGAGGAGAGTTGAATATGAGAATATAAAAGAGACTTTTCCATCAAGGGAGTAACTTACTTGTTAGAAATCACACATTTTCCACCGAGAATAAATGCTAACATAATATCTTGTCATTTATAGAAATAAAAATAAAATCTTAACCAAATAAGTCAAAAATGAAAATCTGAATGGTTACATGGTCACACGGTTCTAAAATGTGTGTATTGAGGGGAGGTTTCTACACTTTTATAAAGTATGTTTTGTTCTTCTCTCCAGTCGATGTGGGGTCTCATAGTTAGAGTATTTATAAGATCACATAGGATTTTTGTTTACTCGTCTTTTAATTAGGTCAAAAGAAGATTGAGTTAAGTTGGATTAGGGTCTGGATCACACTCATCAAGGGCTTGCTGGGAACTGGGTGGTCATTATCAATGGACCATGGTGACAATTGGAGAAGTAAACGGTGTGAGAGAAAATAACAAGAGATCGAGTCTAAACACAACAATAGCAGGTCGGTTCAGGTGGATTTCGACCCATTTTGGGTCTAGTGTCTGAGAGAAGTAGTGGGCTGGGCTGGGCTTGGAATTGTGGGCTGTAGAATGTTGGGCTTTGGCTAACTATTTGTTAAGTCTTATTAAATAATAAATTTAATTCAAATAAATTATAAAATATTGGACTAGACTTATTTATTTTTATTATTATATTAATAAAAAATAAAATGTTAACGTGTAAAATATCTATTTATTTAAAATTTAATTAAATTTCAACATATATTTTAAAAAATTATAAATATTGTTGGAGGATAAATAATTGCAAAAAAATAATAATGGAATTAAATAAAATTATAACAAATATATGTATGAGTATAGTGAACCAAAGAAATTATATTTTAAAATCTATAATAAACTCGAATTAATTCAATTCAAGTTAATTATATATTTATCTTTTAAAATTATTTTTGTTCTCAAAATTTTTGTAAATATAAATAATAAAAAAGAATTAAAATGTATGAAGAAAGACCGTCTGGGAGCAAACTAGAACTTCGACTGTTAAGACGCAGAATTTCCCAATCGGGCGCCATTTTGCACCAACGAATTGCAAAATGCCGAGACCTCGTCTGGAGCCGATCGTCGCTGGTTATCTTCTTTTTGCATTCTTCACCATCACTTCAGCTCAGGATTCTCATCTCGGATCTGCTCGTGTTGTATTCCAGGTTCTTCAAACATTTTCTGTTAATGAAAATCGAATCCATGTATAACTTCACTTGTACTGTCGAGTCTTAGCTAATAGATCAATGTTCATTTTCGATTAACCAGACGAATTATGGCGATATCGAATTTGGTTTCTTCCCCAATGTAGCACCCAAAACCGTTGACCACATTTTCAAGCTTGTTCGTCTTGGAGGCTATAACACCAATCACATTTTTCGGGTATTAAAACTGCCTGTATTTTCTTTCTTTACGTTTTGTGATTATGTGGGGAAAATTTTGCGTGAGATATGTTCATATTGGTAGGTTGATAAAGGATTTGTGGCGCAAGTGGCAGATGTAATGGGGGGGAGATCAGCTCCCATGAACGAGGAGCAAAGGGCGGAAGCTAAGAAGACTGTTGTTGGTGAATTTAGTTCTGTCAAACACGTTAGAGGGATTCTTTCTATGGGGAGGTTAGTTCTTTGTACACTACACTACGCCCGAAGTTACTACTGCTTTCTTATGTCTTGTCTGTATTGTGTGTTGTTAGGATTAAATGTTCTAAAAATCTTTGTTGTTTTCCATCTTTGAATGGAAACCATCTTTGGAGGTTAGCTAGCTTGGTTCTTTGTATTTCTGATAAAAAGGCCTTCAAATTTAATTAGAAGATCATGGTTTCACAATCCCTTGGCGCCGAATTCTCTCTAGTTCCCCCCCATCCCTTATTTGGACAACTTTGTGATGTGAAACTGACAAAAATGACTAAATTGTAAGTAGTAGATTTTGAGCATAATGTTTATGAAAAGAAGATAATGATGTTCTTGTTGATGCCACTTTTAATCCCTTCCCTTTATAATTTATAAGGAAAACGACTTTTTACAATAGCGAAAGATTACATAATTCATAAGTTCTTTTAAGATTATATAAAGGTCCCCTACATATCTAAGAGTTGCAAGAAAGATTGAAAACTTATGCAAAAGAAACACCCAGAAGTTCAACAATCAGCAATAAACTCCTACAACATTTGGATGGTGAGGCTACTAAAATCCAGGATCAATAACCCCTCCCTTCTGCCTTCTCTCCTTCCTAACTCAAACTTTCATATTTTAAACCCTTCAGTCACGTTCTTTTGCTCTGATTCTAGTATTCAAGATAAGTTTCTTCATCTGATTGATCAGTCTACATTTTTATAATGGCTAGCATGGAAAGTAGTTGCAGTATCGTCGTTTACTTCGTGGGAATTATTTGCTGAAAGAGAAAAAAAGGAATCGTTCTTTTTTCATGAGGATTCAATGTAATATTTTGCATTGGTTGGAACAATCTCTTTTGCTCAGCTTTGGAAAAGTCCTTTGAATGTTAAATTCTTCAATCAATTGAGAGGGGATAAAGGATTCTTTAGAGTTCGTAAAAAGTAAATTAAGTTTGGTTGGTATTCATAAATTTCGTTTTTTTTACCAATGGAGCTGATAAAAATACTGTTAGGGTTCCGGAAGGAATTAAAAAATGAGGTTGGATGGTTTTATGGGAGATATTGGATGAATTCCAACATAAATCTAAAAATCCGGTGGATTTTTGCAAGCTGAATGTGTTATGCTTTGATTCCCAAATAACAAGCCATTGCAGAAAATTCCTAGATCCGGTGGATTTTTGCAAGCTGAATGTGTTATCCATGAGTATTATTCTCTTTTCATTTATTCAATGAAAAGTTTTGTTTCATGTAAAAATAAAAAACCCAAACTCAACAACAAATATAAGAACCTCTCATTAAACGGCGGCTTTTCAATTATGAAGCACATAAAACAGATCTATTTTATCGAAAAACATATTTGCCCCCAAATCATCAAGGAATGGATTTTGGCCAAAACTCCACCATGAAGCTTTTAACTGAAAAGACCAAAAGGAATCCTATAAAGTCTTGACAAATTCTAAATCGTGTGGTGTTTGGTCTTTTGTTAGATTCTTTGCTTCTCTTTGAGTTGGGTGACAAAGTCATTTTGTAATTATTCTTTTGGTCTTATTTTGCTTGATTGGAGGCCTTTCTTATAGTTTACCTCCATTTATGAGCTCTCTTTTTTGTATGCCCTTGTATTCTTTCATTTTTTCCTCAATCAAAACTTGGTTTTTTTTTATAAAATGCATGACAGAAAAAAAAGCAATAAATGAAATGCAAAGAATGGATTTTTCCTTTGTCTGGCTTGTTCCTCCTTTCAGGCTCCTCCCTTTGCAATTTTTTTTCTTTGGCTCAAGTCACCATGTCCATGTTGGGTCTTGTCTATGTTTTGTGTCCATGTTTGTGCTGTTTTGATCTTTATTTTTTCCTATCTCTGTCAATATTCAGCTGAAATAGTCATACCTATACCACAAAAACTAACAATTAGATATAGGATACATTTTAAAAAAAAAAAAAAAATTCCAGTCGATTGTATAATTCAGCTTCACTGCAACACCAATTTGAAAAGTGAAAAAAAAAGCTCTTTCTCCTTGAACCGTTGTTCTCTTATACTTTATGCTATGTATGTAAAGTTGTAAAACAGGCTTTCATTTAGACGTTTAACTTGCTACCTTGTGTGTTACCCGATGCTATCTGACCTTAGTTTGTTTAACTATGTTACTTATCTTATCAAAAGAAGCTTATATTTGTACATGAGAAGTTTGGTTCTCCGTTTTAAATATTACTTGCGATCTCTGTAGATATGATGATCCAGACAGTGCTCAATCCTCTTTTTCAATGCTACTTGGAGATGCTCCTCACCTTGATGGCAAAGTATGCACTTAACAATTTTAAGTATCAGACTGACAATTCAGTTTAGTTCAGATATATGGAACGAAAAACTAATGAATATGTTCTCGTCTACTCACAGTACGCAATCTTTGGAAAAGTTACCAAAGGCGACGATACATTGAAGAAACTTGAAGAACTTCCTACTCGTCGTGAGGGTATATTTGTAATGGTAAACTTATATGCTTTCTTTTATTCCAGCAGTAGGATCATCGAGGCTGAATATGATATCATTTTCCTTTTAAGAACTTATTCAAGTTTGTGCTCTCTATCTTTACATGTTTTGATCAATTTCGATCAAACTCAGCTATTTTTTTCTCTTCAGGAAAAGTTTTTGCATTACAGTGATTGCCACTTTCATCTTTCTCATCACTGATCTCCATTTAAAACGATCGCTAATCTTCTTTTTTTCTTTTCAGCCGACTGAGCGCATAACAATACTGTCATCATACTATTACGGTGAGAATGTTAATCTCTCTTGCTACTCTTTTACATTTGGATCAGCCTTTGCCTGAACAACGACCTAATACTGTGCAGGCTCATCACAGAGCGCCTTTTAGCTTGTTTTACATCTACTGATGTACTTTAAAAGATATATTTTCAATTATTCTGATTATCCTAGCTCTTAAAATCCTTTTGGAATCTTCCGCGTCACTTGTTTGGTCCCTTTTATGTTTAGATGTCAATTCTGAGCATTGTGAAGAGGAGAGATCAACTCTGAAGCGAAGGCTAGCTGCATCTTTTATTGAGATTGAAAAACAGGTAAGAACAGCCGAGTTTTAGACTGCAATGAATGCTGAGACATGGACTGATCTTTTAATCTGTTGTTTGCAGAGAATGAAATGCTTCCCCTAAAACGAGCAGGACAACGAAAACTCTGATAGGAAAAACTGGAACACGAATGCAAATAGAAATGGTTTGTCCAAATCCTTATCTTTGTTGTACCGTCTTAGTTGACACATTTCTCACAAGGATGTAGAAACACTAAACGGACAAATGCACGTATGAACACTGAATAAACATGTTTAAAACTGCATATAGTTCAATAGCTAAGACATGGATTAATACCCCATTTCGTGTTTAAGTTGCATTTTTCTGCATTTTAAGCTGTGGAATACGATAAATACAGGAAATTTGCATCTGTAAGCCAAATTTTGAAAACAAGTGTATTAATTTTTCATGTTTCCAGAATGAGCGGTTGGCTTATTATTATTTTTCCTTAATGAGATTATTCATTTAAAGTAAATGATTTTATAATTTAATTATTTTTGGTAATTTTAATATGCAGCCTTTATTTCATCATATGCAAATACGTGCAAGTTTTGTCTTATACAGTCTGTACATTTAGTTATTTTGAAATATATGTTCGGTATATTTGTTTGTCGTCATCATCATTTCATTTGTAATTTATACTCCGGTGCATATTAATACTCCATTCCTCGTGTAAACAGAGATTTTCCATCATGTTCGGACATGTCTTTGTGAGTTTCAACCCTATCGGTTAAATGGATATCTCGAGTTAATGTTTTTTTATCAAGTACTTGGACGAAGTGACCAAAATACTAGTAAACGTAAACCTCGAGATGAAATTTTTGAATTTGGAAATTCATGGATTTAATTGCTACCAAACCTAAAATTCAGTAGCCAAACGTGTATTTTTTTTCCTATTATGGATTATAAATAGGCATATATGTTCGAGTTGGCCTAATATTCACATGATCGACTGATCTATATATATAGCTTAAATGAACCCCTTTGTAAGCCATATTCTTTAATTGAGCTTGGGTGGTCGGCCTTTGGTGAGACTAACTCGAACCCCTCCCGATCTCTCGAAATTTTCAAAGAAATCATGTAATTTATTGATAAAACTATGTTATGTATTTTATCATATTATAATGTAATTTATATTATATAGTTTTGTACACGTTTTAATTTTACACAAAAGTTAAATATCATTATAGCTCAAAGTTTTTATATTTTTAATGTAATCCTCCAATATCTTAATTTTGTGGTAGGTATAATATTCTCAAAAGTCCAAAAAAAAAAAAAAAAAAAAAAAAAAAAAAAAAAAAAAAAAAAAAA